ATCTACCTTAACCAAAATCAAAGTAGACTATCACTCACCCACACCAGATGGAAAACTCTACAGACTGTCGGTTCACACCCCATCACAAGCCAGCAAAACATCCACGAAACAGAGAAAGGTCTGTCACAGCCAAAAAATACACTCCAGACGTAGTACAGTAAGAATAAAAGGGGAGTCGAAATAACCTTTCCCTTTGAATTCTCCTCGCTATATCGGTCAATCGCGTTTCCATTCTGCACTTTCGAATTTTTAATCGCTCTCTTTTGGGGAGCATCCTGTAGGTTCAGAAGAATGGGGAGGGCATAGGGCCTCGCTCCACTACACTCTACTGTAGATGCACAAAAGACAAAAATCATGGCGGTGTATCTGTCCATGTTCTAACGGAAGATTCACTCCCAGTGTGAGTACGCCCTTACCTGGAGTGTAGCTTGGTCACATGGGCTGCGTTTGGAAGCTTACCAAGGCAGACCTCAACAGAAAGACAAATTTAAAGCAGAAAGAAATAACCAAGGGCATACTGTGCGCACTAGCACTTTGAATCCTAAACGTATCTGACCGCAATTACTGGCAAGGCGTGGATGAATCCGACGGGCCAGAGGGCAAGTAGACAAACGTCCCAGTTTGAGTATCATGCCCTAAAAACGAAAAGTTAACTCAGAGGAAAAGAAAAGAAAAGAAAAGTCGTTCATACTCAATGTAGCACAAAATGTGAGGCTTTACCCTCGGGGAGGACGTAATGTGCTAATCATGAAATAGCTGCCTTGCGAATAGCAAGCCAGCATCGCCCTTCTGCCTCGTCCACTCAGGCATTGCTCCACTGATCGTCATTCATTGAAGAAGAAATGTAGCACATTGTGTGCCTTGCTCCCCTACTCAACATTGGAAATGCATCTGTGCTGTTTATGCTCCATGATTTTTTTTATTTTATTTTTTTAAAGAGAAATTATGATGTTTATTGCTAAAAACAAAATAGTTCGAGGCCGGCGACCTCACAATTCAACCCGGAGTTATCCTGCCAGCCTCAGCCAGTTTAGCTTACGAGAGCACATTGCTCCAGTATCCGAGCACAGATCTCCGTAATCTATCCATGACGAAACCTGCTGGAAACCGCGTCCAGCGTCCCATCCTAACCAAGATGGTTCTAAAATTAAGGTTAAGGTTAACAGACAACCAATCCGATCCGAAAGGAGCTTGCTTGCGAGTACAACTCTTATGGTTACTAGAACTCTACTGAGTCTTGCGAATGGGGAAGTGAAACAGAAAAGTGAAACAAAAAAGTGAAACCTTTTACACCGACTCGCAAGAACGTTTGCTGGAAACCGGGTCCAGCGTCGCATTGCTATAATATCCTTTACTTATCTGTTGACAACAACCAATCTGATGTTTTCCATTTCCCTTCCAATAGGACAGTTGCAAAGAAACCGTTTTTCGCGCAGGTTTAGCTGAACCAAATTACATGAATATGGTTTTTCCAGTGTGCAATGATAACCAGGCGGAGTTCCTTTTTGATTCTGTTGATCGTCTGTTGAAAGTCCACTGTGTCTTTACGGAAGACTTTCGCGTTTCTCATTCAGTTTGCCCAAATGGCCTCCATTACGATCCCTCTGCTGCAGATCAGAGCCTTATATACTACAGTCTTCCCCCGAATACAACGTACGGTCGTTATAGCCGAATTTGGTGTATCTTTCAGTCTAAATTCAGCTAGAATGACCGTACGTTGTATTCGGGAGAAGACTGTAGGGACCCGAGTTGAAACACGCTCCTTCCGTTGCCTGTCCATATATAAAGGATAAAGTTATCAGACCATTTATGCTCCATGATACGCATTCGGACTGCTGCCAAACATTCTGAATGTATTTGGATGACTGCCACGACCGGATGCACTTGGACTGTTGTCTAGTGGAGCAAGGGCCCTACGTGAGGCTTAAAGGCTTTACTCTCGGTGATGAGAACACAAAATGTAGCCAATCCGACGAGTCATTGCTGTGAAGCAGAGGAAGGCTTGGACTCTACACCGTAAGGTTTTTTGAAACACCATTTTCGTCCGAGGATTTGCTGCCTGTAAGGGCGAAAAGCAATGTTTGTTGACGTCGAGTCAAAAGCAATAAATCGTAGATTTATGGTGAAAAAGTCAGGAAAACCTTTGAAAAAGCACTAAACTGGATCCAAGTAAATCACCAGACAAAGGCTTGGATCTGGAGCATGCATGTATGCTTTTCTTTGTGTTTTTCTGTTTAGCATCACTTTACTATCGTTCACTCCTGATGATTCTTTTTCCCAAAAAAAAAAAAAAAAAAAAAAGAACACAAAATGTGCAAATAAAATAAAGTGAAGCGTTGAGAACCGCTTCCCTTGGGGGGAAGGGAAAAAAAAAACCCAAAAAAAAACAAAACAAAACAAAACAAAAACACCATGAGCATATTGGGAAATGGTGTGTGCGTGTGTGTGATTTTCCAGATTTCATCACAAGAAGGGGCAGTCGAAACGTGGGGGTCCTCCCCCCCGTACACTTCAAGTTTTTACTCTTGATTTGGGAGAGGTCTTCTTATCCATGCGTGTCTTCTTCCTTTTCGTCTTTTTCTTTCTTCTTCGCTTTGAATCTTCTTCTTATCTACCTTCTATCTTCTGCCAGTGCCCTCTTTCCTTCTGGCTGAGCTGATAGTGTCTGTGAAATCGATCTGGACTCTGCTGAATCGCAGGTTGTGCTGTTGTCATTATCAATTCTGCGTGATTGATTTCACATTCACATTCATCTCCTTTTTTTTTTTTCTTTTTTTTTTTCTGAAGATGTTTTCTTTTGGCCCGTACCTATTTACGATGAAAATCAGGTTGTTGGGCACACAGGCTGGCGAATCTGAGATTATCTGACCCCCTTTATTCGTGTGGTTGTGGGTTTTCATTTTTCTCTTTTCTTTCTCTCTGTTGCGTTTTTTTTTTTTTTTTTTTTTTTTTTTTTTTCCCCTCCTCCAATGGCAGCGAGAAGCATCCTCAACCCGCCAGCCATCATGAAGGATTAAGTCGGTTGAGCCAGCAGCTCAACTTGTTGGGCAAGTTTCAGGACGTCGAACAGGTCTGTGCCTGAGTCCCAACCCTCCAACGGTTCTGCTGAAATGAAAAGGTGATTCGGCAGAAGTCGGGGTCGCCCTCAGAGTCTGTGGGCAGAGCAGAGCAGACATTGTAACTACAGAGAAAGCGCATCAGTGTGGTCGTACCTCTTGTTCCACGAAAAACGAGGGAGGCATGGAAGGTGATGATGCAGAAGGGGAGGTCAAATTGGAGTGTAGACTAAAGAGGGAGGGGACAGAGATTTTGGAGGGTGGTTGTTCACAAAGACTGTCGATAGATATTCATCCTTGTGAGCCATGGATTCTATTTGCGCCTGATGGGAAATCCGTACAAGTGTGGAATTATGAAGACGGGACAAGGGTCTCCTCCTGGAACGTGCCTCACGTGAGCGATTATGTGCCTGGGGTTGGATTCGTTGCACAGAAAGACTGGATTGTGGTGGAGCGTTACAATGACTCCCCTCCTCTATCATGCTTACAGGTGTATGAGTATGACATACAGGCTTCGAACTTGCGGCACATCAAAACATTGGATGCACCTGATAACGAAACAATATTCAAGTTTGCAATCCATCACGACTTACCTTATCTCGTTGCACCCTTGCAGGGGAAAGACAGGAACCTTTTTTTGTGGGACTGGGACAGGGGCTGGGAGGAGGTAGCATTTGAAGGTCATTCTCATGATGTATTTGATGTGAAATTTCATCCAACGGAGTCGTTAATTTTTGGAAGTGTCTCCATCGATGGGACAATCAAGATCTGGGATATGGAAAAGAGGCGTGCTTCAAGAACACTGACGGATCCTGACATGCAGACACGGCAGTTTCCTCTCAGATTGGACTTTTGCAGTGACCACAACAAGGAGTCCCTGCTGGTCACAGGGCATGAGTATGGCGAAGTGAGAGTGTGGGACTATCAAACAGGAGAGTGTAAAGCCAAGCTTTCTTGTCAATCCAGTGACTGTGTAGATTCATGCTTCTTTCACCCAAACTTGCCGTACATCTTCGCCTCAAGCTATTTTGGTGACAGCATAGGACTTTGGAATGAGTCCACCTATCAGCCGGTGCTGTTTGAGAAGAGTCTGGGAACTGCGAGACCTGACGTAGCAGTACCTTGTAGACACTCGAATCTGATAATCTTTGGAGGTGATGGAGAATTCGCAGTCGTCGAGGTGCAAGTCACACGTGGAAAGGAAAAGAAGGAGGTGGAACAAAAGCAGAGGTCCAGATTGCTTTCTTTGGAGAAGCAAGTCAATGAGCAAATGCAGAAAGAGGCAGCCCATGCCAAGACTTAGTCTGAACGCAAGTCTAGAGGCAAATGGAGAGCAAAGAGGCAACCAATACGGAGCGGTAATGCTCAAAAGCGCTCGAAAAACTGAAATCGGAGCACCAGACCATGGAGAGGAAATGGAAGCTGAGGATCGAAGAGTTGGATTGGAGCAGAGATTGCGAAAGGAAGTGGGCTCAGGAGAAGTAAGGGAGTACTCTTACAAGGAGCTTCAGGATGCGACCGACAATTTTGACGGCACCTGCATGGTAGGCGATGGGGATCAAATTGGAAGTAATATAATTTACCGTCGGAAACTATGCGTGGTTACCGCAATCACAGTGAAGCAGCTCGGTGACACGGATGATGGGCCCAAGCTTCATCCCTCCGAGTTCTGGACAAAGGTCGTCGACAGGTTGAAGGCGCTGAGGCATCCCCATTCACTTACTCTGTTGAGAGCCTGTTACGAGGAGAAGTGTCTCGTTTATGAGCACATGGAAAATGGAAGCGTCAAGGACTGCATCACCTGTGGAGAGGGGCAAGGAAGGAGGCCTTTGCCGTGGTACGTTCGCTTCCGCGGTATGGCAGAGGTCGCCCGCGCGGTGAGCTTCCTTCACTCGAATTCACCTGCCACGGGTGGTCCTATCATCCACCGTGCCATCAAGCCGGCAAACATTTTCCTCGACGAACGCTTCGCAGCCAAGCTCGGTGAGGTGGATCAGGCGTTGCTCGTCTCCGATCAGACACGAGGAGTGCAGAGAGGGGCCGGAGAAACTTCCATGCGGCTTTTCCTGGGAAGTAACTCTCAGTACATAGCTCCAGAGTATTTTCAGTGCGGTGTCCTGAATGAGAAGACGGACATCTACGCGTTGGGTATCACTGTCTTGGAGATGCTGACAGGAAAGTTCTGGAACGCACTCGGCATCGTAGAGGACGCTATTGAAGACGAGGCAGCTTTCAAGAATGCTCTCGACCCGAATGCGGGCTGCTGGGATATTGCTCTGGCTCGGGAAATCGACAGCTTGGGGCTGAGCTGAGCCAGTTTCAGTAAGCGTTGTCGGCCAAACAAGGTGTCCGATGGGATTCTGCCTTGTGCTTGAGCAAGTTGCCCAGAAGGTGGCTCTTACAGACTGTCTTGAGGACGCATAAGCCAAGGAGCTCCAGGGACCAGAGATGGGTCCACAGTCGGACTGATAATGTTTCGACTCATGGTGGTGGTGATATTTCTTTTTCTTTCTTTTTTTTGCCTAATTAGTGCGACCCAACAGCAGCCGTTAATTGAAACATCAAGTGTGCGGGTTTCTTTGACTTTTTGGATATTTTTCTTCTCAATAAGCTAACAATTACTAGTTACAGATCATTGTGACACATGCTAGGAGGGACTATAACCCATATGATCATTGTCTGTAACTCATTCCCTCTTTGATGCTTTTCAAGCTCTATGGACGACTTTACTAGTTTTGGATATGGCTTTTATTTATTTATTTATTTATTTATTTATTTATTTATTTATTTATTTATTTATTTGGGGACACGACTCTTACTACTAGGTACTGATTGGGAAAATAGATGGGTAAGCGAGGTAGAGGAAGTGGTGAAAGTTGGTGTGAACATGTATAACAGGATTTGAAAAGCGAAGTCAGGATCTGCTTACTAACAGATGTATGTGAGCGCAGGAAGGACCAGGTAAATCACCGAATTGTCACGATCAGATTTTTCAGGTTTGTTACGATCCCGGTCATTTCCCAAGTGCAAATTCACAATGAAAGACAATGCCACCCAATTGCGAAAGAAATGAAAGCACTTGCAAAGAGATAAAGACCGGAGGAGAAGATGTGTATAAGAGACAGGTACATGTGTTTGGAGTGGCTTGGTCGATATAGGTGCTTGGAGTGGCTCGGTCGGTATAGGTGCTTGTTGTGGCTCGGTGGGTAGGTGCTTGGAGTGGCATGGTCGGTAGGTGCTTGGAGGACGAGGAGGAAGGAGGAGGAGGTGGCTGGGCAGTAGACACGACTTGCTTTCTCTTTCTTTGAACTTTTTTCACAGCAAAGCGAAGGAGAAAAAGCAGAAGGAGAAGGGAGGAGGAGGAGGAGGAGAAGGAGGAGGAGGAGGAGGAAGCAAAAGCCATGCCGTGGTAGAGAGCTGAGCGCTTTTCGAGGGGGTTGCCGAGGGGCGGGGAGGGCACTGCCGCACTCTGAGACAAGGTGGAAGGTACGTTTCTTTCACTTTCTTCACAGCAAAGAGAAGGAGAAGGAAGAAGAAGGGAGAGGAAGGAGAAGGGGAAGGAGAAGGAGAAGGAAGAAGAGGGGGGAGGAAGGAGAAGGGGAAGGAGAGGAGAAGGAGAAGGAGAAGGAGAAGGAAGAAGAAGGGGGAGAAGTTGAAGGAAAGGGGAAAGCGGAAGCAGAAGCCGCTCGGTGCAGAGGGCCTTTGGAGAGATCGCAAAGCACACTCACGCTGTCTGAAAAACGTTGGACAGTGCTTTCCTAACTTTCCTTTGTGTCCGACTGTACACACAGCTTGCTTCCTAAGAGGAACGCTACTTCTTCCAAATATTTCACAGCAGAGAGAAGGAGAAGAAAGAGGAGAAGGAGAAGGAGAAAGCAGGAGGGTAAGGACAGGGAAGAAGGAGAAGAAGAAGGAGAAGAAGAAGGAGAAGAAGAAGGAGAAGGAAGAAGGAGAAGGAAATTAGAAGCCGTGCCGCTGTGGAGTACTCGCGCCGCATTGCGAGCAGCTGCGGGAGTACTTGCAATGGAGAGATTGGGAAGCACAGTCACAGTGACGTTCTGTGAATTTGTGTGAAACGTGATCATGGTGGGAAGGTGTTCGACTTCGACACTGCGCAGGCACAGCTTGGTTTCTCC